CTGGTACTTCAACATGACATTCTGCAATTATTTTTTCCCGCCGCGGTCATCGTGTTGCAGCCTCAGCCACAGTGTGAGCTGCATTCACAGCGTGCTGGATATTGGACTGTCCAATTACAGCAAAAGACTGCATGTCAGAGAATACAGAGCTTCAGGTTTGTCACACTGAAAGGGAAATGTACTGAACGGACTGTTGTCATTCCCACATCTGTGTTTTGGTGAACTCTCAAGCACACATCTATTTCACATGCACAATTGTTGAGCTAAATGCTGAGATAGCTGCTGTGCTGTAAATTGAGAATATCAGATGGTTTAATGGTGGTGATTAAAGGTCTGAAGTGCCATTGCAGGTTATGTGAATCATGCTTAATCAAACCAAGTCGGCACTGAAAAGGATGTAACAAACTGATTAACTAAATAAAGTAGCACAGCTCTGCACCGAGTTTCACTGCTGAAAAATAACTCCCCTCTTCTGTGCCATTTCTCTGTATCTATTCATTTTATATCATGAATATTTAATCTGCAAATGGATATATCTTTTTCCAAGATGTTCAACACTCTGTATCAGTAATCATTTTTAAAGAGTGGTGAATATTTTATTTTTATGTTCAGTCCTCAGTGACATCCTCCCCCTCACACACTAATAGAAACACATCCAGTCTGTAAAGATCATGTGTGCAGAGTGGGCAGAAATATCTATTATGTCGAAAGCTGCATTTATATACCAGTGAGTGTGTGTGTGTGTGTCCGTCTGCACTTAGAGGTTAGTCAAAGAGCACTGTATGTTGATGCTGGTAGAGGAATATGGAATATTGCACTTCCCCATCTATTTTCCTTTATTTATAGATTTTAGCTGTTGATTTTGCTGCTAGCAGCTCTAACCTGTTTGACCACAGTGTACTCACATACGGTATGTACATGTACAGAACGAAAGAAATAATTGATTTCTTATTTGATACAGTGGTATGTACTCACTCTCTTTAACAGCATGTAGGAGGCTACCACAGATCAGAAATCAAAGATTTACTGTTAGCATTCATGCAGAGAAACGAAGCAACATCCTGTAAACAGAGACAATGCAGCGGCACAGCAACTCCAGAGCCACTGTGGAGGTTCCCACAGTACTCTGCCCTCAACATCATAGCACACATACATAACCACAGATTACTGCCTCCACTGTACAGGAGCAAAAGCGCTGTTTCTGAGAACGGCTTGTCGCTGTGATAGTAACAGCAGCAGCAGCAACAACATCCTGCAGCAGTCTGCCAACAGCAGCACTGCTGGTGGATATGGCACTCTGCTAATTTGATTTGATTTCCCCTGGATAGTAGAGCCTAGCACATTCTCCAACTGACTCATACTCTGTTTACCTCTGCTACGTCTGTGTGTGTGCGAGTTTGTGTGGATGTGTGTGCATGCCTGCCTGTCCTTCTGTGACTGTGTCCGTACCAGACGGTCTTAGAATAGATTGTCTGGAATTTGATGCTTATCATCGGAAAACTCTCGCCAGTTAGACCAATTAATGGTTCTGTTACAGTGTTTGGTAGCTTCTCCTTTACAGGACACTTCTTGGACATTATGACCTTTTTAGATTTCTTTCATGGATTGATGTTAAAGAGCTGAATGTGATTAGCTTTTTTTTATGAGAACTACATGGCTGCTGAAGACTGTAAAGAAGCATATTCTCTGTACCAAAAATGCCAACAGTAAAATTATACTTGCATATAATGTATATTTTGTCTGTGTGTCCGTCAGAGGCCAGATGAGGAGGTGGTTGTAGACCAGGGAGGGACCAGCTCAGTACTGAACATCCACTATGAGAAGGAGGAACTAGAAGGTGAGTAAAATGCACATTTGGGGGGAAAAAAAGGTAGTGATTACTTCAAATGTTTCTGATGACATTTTCTTTTGCTTCATTGAGCGTCATCAAGTCTGATGTGTGGGTGGGGATTGGTGTCAATCAGAATCAATGTCTGCCAGAGATATAAAAACACAGAACAAATTTAGCTCTAATTTGTGAAGAGTGCTGTTGCCTTTCACAATATTATATTATTAAAATACAGTAGCTCATACCTAAACAGCTCATTTTTGTCATGTTTTTCTCTTGTTGTTGTTCCCCTAAGCTGTTCACCTCATATTTTGGGGTAGATAGGAAACAAAAAGGTCAAAACCGTAAGCTTTCAGCCATGCACATCTGGCTGCACCTGAATCAGTGATGTTATACCAGGTCATGTCCATTCTTTGCAGCTGGAGAATAAATTCTGCAGCCAAATCCCTGTATTACTGGTACAGGGGTGGTCAGAGGAGCAGCATGCCAAAACTATTGTTCAGCAGATGTGGGTTTAGTGTTGATTTGGCTCTCTTTTGTTAGCAGTATCTGCACTTCCATAGTAGAGCTCAAATATTTGTTCCTTTTAAAGCTTCAACACAATTGTCTATATTTTTTTCCCTAACAGAGGCTTGGCATCAACACTCTGTATTTAATCAGTGCTTGATGCACCCACTGAGCTATGACTGTTACCAGAAACCTTCACACCTGCAGTTTGCATTTAATTGGAGAAAACAGTGTTCTACATAACAGCACTTTAGGCCAGTTCAAACTATGAGTCATATTTTATGCACCCAACAGATGTTTTTCATGCAGCTTTTATTTTTAATCCACTGTTAGATTTCAGAGAGTAAGAAAGCACAGTCATTCCCTCTGAATACTACAACGTCATGAAAACCTGAAATACTAAAGAAGCACCTACACTTAGTGTGCTTAGTTAATTATCGTCCACCACAGGTGTCTTGGCCTGACTCAGCCCGCAGATCTCTTAAGACCACTTACGTGTTATATATATTTAATGAGACCAAACAGTGGGATGAAGCATGAGGTGAGGTGAAGCTTCTGCATAAATGAGTCATTTTTATAGTTTGTATGTGTTCATGTGGGTTGGTCGTGAACACTGCAAGTTGTTGTTAGGGTTGGGATGTTATCTTGCTGATTCCTAATATGAACGTATAATGGGGCCATCATGCTTTCCTGGATGGAAGTGAGTCGTTCGAAATAAAAGATTAATCTGAACAGCAATTTTCTGTTCATTTCCGGGGTTCATTCTTTAAACACCCACTCTGGTAAAAATCAAGTTTTTGACCTTGTTCACATGTCCATTTGACATTTTTATATTCAAGAAGACACATCAGAAGTGAAATAAGAAACATTTCAACCTTAAAACCAATGGCTTCAGACTTCCAGTTTCCTAGTTTTCTTTCATACATAACAAACATAAGAAACAAAGCTTTTCAACTTGCATATTGGGGTTTCTGCATCATTAGTCTTCTTGAGAATCAGCTTCTGGTTCTAACATGTATGGCTGAATTACTTCAATATTACAATTTGCCATTGTGTAACGTGATTAGTTTTACAGTATTTGAAGAGAGTCGTGGGCGAGCTGATGTGCTTAAGCTGCAGCATGAAGCAGAGGGCTGAGAGAGAGGTAGGGACTTAATAGATCAACGCATTTATAGGAAGCAGTGGTGTAGAATTACTTAGTTGTTTTCAGACAGGAAGGGATTACTTTCATGGGAAAAAAAGATATAAACGTGCAGTTTTGATACACTGGCATGAGCTTTTAGGGGTATAATCTGAGACTTTATAGGATAGAGAAACTCATCACTTCAAGAATCCAGAATAGAAATCTCTGGGTAAACTTTTAAAAGCGTTTTTATCAGATTTGATTGATGGTTGTATAAATGTAATTCTTATGTCCTGGTAACCACTGAAATTGCAGCATTGCAGTGTCTCTCTCCCCATTCATTCGTATAGGAGCTTGGTCGTGTTAGCCTGAAATAACTGCCCAGAGGCGTTGCCAAGATGACTGCTGAGTGGCACGACTTTTGTTTAATCACTGTCTGGAGAGGGACTTTACTTTCAGAAGTCTCTGCATTCATTTTCTAATAAAACTCCATTATTGTCAGTGTCACATGCATTCGGTCTCTTGTTATCGCTGCATGTTGCATTCAAAGTTGAAAAGGCTGATAAATATTACAGATGGCAGCGGTTGAGATTAATGTTGGACAGCAAGCAGCAGGAAGGGTGTTGTTCTCCAATTCTCCCTGTGGAGCTTCAGGTCAACATCTTAGCCCTAGTTTAATAGCTTTCACTTTTAGTCGCTTTAACCCTGCGTGCTTAGGGACCGTAATGTGCAATGTTCCGCCCAGCAGTCTTTACTCCATCCTGGGCTTTTTTTCTTTTCCCTTTCAGTATTTGAAGCCAATTTTATCCATAGCTAATTCAAATGATACCATCAGAAAGGCTGAACTGAAATCTACTCAGCGAGAGTAGACAAATTACGCAAACCCAAAGGCAAATTGATACCCTAGTAATGTCACAAAAAACGAGTAGATAACGCAAAATACACACTTCATATAAGTGCAGCACAAAACTGAGCTGATGTGATCAAAAATAAGTAAAGAAAAGACAAAGAAAGATCTCACTGATCTGTCAAGGCCCATTAGAAAAAAAATGTTTTCCAGACTGACAGGTGAGACATTTTGGTTGCAACCCTCATCAGAAAACATGCAAGAAATAAAAGACAAAACTGAGTTAGCAATGACTGCAGAAACAAAAATAAACCATCATTGTGAACCCCTTTGGTCTAACTGGATCTCTTCCCTCTTTAAAGATAATAAATAGAATAATAATAATAATAGAAACAGCTCAGAAAGGCCTAAAGCTTATCCAAAGACAACATGCAGCCGTATTTGTTATTGGATTACTATTTATATATAATTTAATACTATTTATTTTATCCTCCCCTGTGTGCCTTTAAGGTTCTGTTACTAAACTCCACAAAATCCTTACAGGCATTTATACGATCATTATGATGATTTGTAATTTTCCTAATGCTCTTTTTCTCAAAGAAAATCATGTTGCCACTAAGTACAAGAATGAATGAACTAAAATCCCTTCTTTCAACTCTTCTGCAGGCCACAGGACTCTGTTTGTAGGGGTTCGGATGCCCAGGCAGAGTCACCGTCACCACAAGCCCCATGGCTCCCGCCACCGCAAGAGAGACAGGAGGTCAGGAAGCAACGCAACACAACAAAGCGAAGAAACTGAGACGACCACCTCCAGTCATGGTAGCGTGCACACAAATACACACACACACACACACACACACACACACACACACACACACATAAAACCTTTTTGGAGTATTTTGCCTTTTTAGAGTTTTTTGAGACTTGTACAGTCATTTAGACAAAACGATAAACAGACTTGCGTGTGCACTTGCAAAACCACCTCCCAGAGAGGAGGTAGTATTTGTGAAACAAAGACTATCGATACTGTGGGCACTTCACACACGCACATACAGTGCTCCAGGCTAAAATTGACAAGCCCACTAATTAGCTAACAAAGAACAGGAACTAGTCAGCATGTTGCCTGTGTGTCTGGATTTGTGTGGAAGTGTGCATGTGTGGACTCAGTATCTATTTAAAAGGCATGTAATGACAAAATATAAAGTGCCGTGTGTGTGTTTGAAGCAGTGTTTCAAGAGCCATAGTTCACCTCTCCTTCCTCCTTCACATCCTCTTGCTTCATCAGACACACCGTCCCAGCGGGTTCAGTTCATTCTGGGCTCAGAGGAGGATGCTGAACATGTGGCCCACGAGTTGTTCACCGAGCTGGATGAGATCTGTGTGAAGGATGGCAAGGATGCTGAGTGGAAGGAAACAGCCAGGTCAGGATCTCCTCTGGGAGCTGCTGGCTACAGCGTTCGGCAATAAAGCATCTGACAGCCCGGCAGCTCTACAGCTGTACTGTTATGAAGAGGGAAGTGTACAAGTGGTAGTTACATCTAAAGCTTAGTGGATCATTTCTCGCTCGATTTGCTCAAGGCAGAAAGTGAGGAATCACACGAATACTGCTGTGATCTCATTCACGCTGTTCAAACACTAAATCTCAGTCACACATGCTGATGTTTGTTTTTCTGGGAGGAAATGGCGTAAACTGCAACATTAAGGTTTACAGCTGATCTGTGTGTAGAACTGGAAAACATCTTTGCCTTTAAGGTTTAATTCTCCCTAGTCGCTGCGTGCGTTGATCTGAGTCTATGTTTATCAAACTTCTAAAAAAATGACACTTAAAAAGACCTGACGTGGAAGTAAAAAAGCTTCGCTGCATCAAGCAGAGCACTTCTACCTGCAGCTGTCCTAGTCTCAGGGTTAGTGGTTCAGTTCGGTGGTTCGCAGTCATGAGTATGTGAATGAGAAATAAACTGTAAAGCACTTTGGCTAAGAGAGCTACATACAGCAGCTGTTTAACATAATGAGTGAAGTGTAAGAATAACACTTTAACTTTCAAGCCATCAGATGATTTATTATATGTATGAAATAAGGCAAGAATTAATGGTACTGGTACATCTAACATGTTGTTAAATTCCTTTTTTTTAATCCTTACATTTTTATCAATGATATTTTATTCTTAATACCTTTGTTTTGCTTTGTGAAATTCTTTATTCTTTATTTGAATCCTCATTAGCTTCCACAAGGTGGTTGTTAGTCTTCTTGGGGTCCATTCACAAAACAACATTAGAAATACATCAATTTAAATTGAAAGCCTTAATATCGTCACTAGAAGCAGTAGTCATGTGCCCTTGTGAACATCTGAGCAGGTTTTTCTTGCTCGTTTCAACAACACGTACCTGCATTTGGATGTGTTTTTTCATGTTCTGGCATTTTCTCTAAAACTTCTGCACATGTCATCACATTGGTGAAGAAGGTGATTTGCTAAACTTGTTTTTTTTTGTCTATTTGCATGTGTTTTCTCAAGTCAGCTCTCAGGGCCTCCATGCCCTTCACTTATGCACACTGAAGGGCATTAGCAATAATTACAGCATTGAGTTCAGAGAGTTCAGGATATGAACTCTCTGAACTCAGTATTAGATTGTCCTTTCACATGCTTCCCACTTTAACATGTGAAAGGACAATCTAATATGTTTAGAATAATGTAAAGAGGAAATTATAAACGGAGATTGAATAAGGGGGGAGGGGGGGAAGAAAACCAAATTGGAGCAGAAAATAAATGTGAGTTTGCTGACAGATGAGGCGCATCAGAGAAAACATGCACAAGTGTTTGACAGTGACGATGCACCAGAACAATCAACCACAGAATCAATGCCGGCTTTATTCTTGTTGTTGTCACCGCTAATGAATGCAAAAAAGAAGGAAAACTAGTGCAGCACCCTGCAGGAAATATATTTCTTTTATCACATATTGTTCATCCAGCCCAATAATATTTTATTACTTAGAACGTGTATCTATCTCTGCACCGTAGTCATCATATCTGCTCTCAATCTGCTTAACAAACCATTGTTATATTTTTGAGTTGCGAGAAATTAGATTAGAGGTCTGAAAGACTGAAAGTATGATTTAAAGTTTTCTCTTTCTTGCAAACATAATTTCACTTGTTGACTATATATTGATCTTTGGTCTGTTTTTACCTTGCAGGTGGCTGAAGTTTGAGGAGGACGTGGAGGATGGAGGGGAGAGGTGGAGCAAGCCTTACGTTGCTACGCTTTCACTCCACAGTTTGTTTGAGCTCCGCAGTTGTATTATCAATGGCAGCGTGCTGCTTGACATGCATGCTGACTGCATCGAAGAGATTGCAGGTGAGAATTTTTCCAACAGGCGTTTATTAATATCTCAGCACCACAGTGCTATAAATCCCAAGAAAAAAGGCAAAGTCTGGCTGAGCAGTTTTCTATAAGGGTGCTGGAAGAAATCAGTTTTTATCATTGGTGTAAGTGAATGGCATTGTTTCCTCAAATGGAAATATAATTTCCCAATTTATTTTCCTGTCGTCTTCTTCCCTATTGTCTGAAGTGACTGTTTGTCTCTGTCCTTGAGTATATATTACATTCATTGCTATAAAACAGACTCCACATCTCAGCCTAAATGGCCCCTGGATATCTATTACAAATCAATTTATCTTCCTCAGAGAGGAAACAGGTGGAGAGTACAGGGCTGAGGGCCACATGTCACATTAGAGTCACACAAAACTGACACACATTCAAGCTGACAGCCATACAAAAGTCCCAACAGGTTTTAAAATAATTTCATGTGATGTTAACATTTTATAACAAACATAAGTGAAAAAAATCTAGTGTTGCCTCTCAAGGCTCTGTTTGTGTAGTGAAGGTGAACCTCAGTGGTTGTGTTTTACTAGAAGATGCAGCTGAACCAAGTGTTTGTTTTTTTAAAAAATTACATTAGTCGTGCTAGCATGAAATTATTGTTCATGCATTAATGTCCAGCCATTCTACACACACACACATACACACACACACACACACACACACACACACACACACACACACACACCTACAAATGGTCACATGGTTAAAAGCCCTCCATCGATCCTTGTTCTTCATGGTCAGCCTGTCAGAGTTACAGCCTGAACAACCTTGCTCCCTGCAATCATTCTGCTCCTCCAGCTCTCATCTCCTCTCCTCATTCACCTCTTCTCCATATGACTCCTGCCAGCAGCACCTGGACTACAAACAGCAGCTGAGATAATTTAAAAAAGACAAAAAAATGTATGAGATCTTTTTTTTTTTTTTTTTAAAAAAGATGGCAAACCTATTATTAAGCCAAATTAAATTGTATTCATAAATGTCTGTCATGTAAGAAAGTGCAATGCAAAATGCTTCAAGCAATAAGGTGCAATGATATAAACCAGTAAATGCATGTTGGAATAAAACACTAACAACCACTAACAGCTATACACTGTTAATCCTCTGAACCCCAAGTGGTTTCTGGCTGTTTTTTTTGCTCCTGTGACATTTTCACTCACTGTGGACACATTTTTCACTGCAGTATAAAGTCCTATGCCTCTATAGAAACAGCACAACCATGGCTACAAGTGAGAAGCACTCAAAAATGGCTTCTGTGTAGAACCTAGGTTTAATGTCATAAATTACTTTTAAAATCAGCATGTACATTTTTCCAAGTCCTCGCAGGTGTTACCAATACTGGAGAAATTGGTGACTCCACATACTATAGATATTTACTACTTAGATTTTTAATTTGTTTTCATACTTTCCTCTATCTGCTTTGTGTAGACACAGCCAGAAGTTTGGTCCAGTTCAGCCAAATGTCCCAGAAATGTTGTCATGTAACTGTAC